TGAATGACTTTCTCCCATGAATTCTTCACCCACATGTGCACCTCAGCAAGCGCTGGTCCATTCTTTCGTCCGGCTACATTCATTTTTCATACCTTGAGTTTGCAAGACACAAGAAAATTCTTCATTAAGAAAGCGTCTTATACATACAGAGAAAAATACGGTAATTTTTTTTCTTTGAAGATAATAATGGTTTAGTGATACAAGTCTTACTAATTAACCCATAGATGGGGGAGAGAAGTGGTGGATTCATACCTTTCCCAAAGTTATTTGAGCGCAAGTGAATATAGCGAACACAACGGGAATTGGAACTCGACTCTCCGATTGACAATTCCAAGCCATTGTCTATTAAACCACCCGCGCACACAAGCTTATAGCACCTGGTATTCCCAAGATACTGACCAGATTAAACGTTGCTTAACTTCGGTGATCGTACGGGAGCCGGTGCTTCAGCGTTATATGGCAGAAGTCCTTCAGATATTCAGTGTACATAATATTACTACCCTTTTGTTCACAGTAGTGTAGGACGTTAGCATCTTGATTATGTCATTGTTTTCTATTCGAGTTTCATGTGCTATCCGTTTTAGTTGTTGCTGCTGTTGATAGTCCTGAAGTGATGTGGTTTCTATTTGGTACGGTTAGTTGTACTTCAGTAGCGTCAGTCCACAATATTCAAAAAAGGAGGTTCTTCGCCAGTACTCACACGCTTAAGTCGCTCAAAGCTATTTTTGAGGAATGCAAAAGGAAACTACTCCCCTATCTTTCCAAAGAATCCACGGCAATTCACAGATAATAAAGAAAAGTGTTTGTGGAGAGCGTCATCTATGTCCTGAAGGAATAAGTCTACTTGTGTTTTTCGTTTTTTTTTATTTTATTTTTTTTTTTTTGTTTCTTTTTTGATTTTTTTTTGGGGGGGGTCTGTAGCATTTACCGCCATTTGATGACCTCAATGTTATTGTTTTTAAGCCGAAGTAAATGTTTAGCCAGTCGCTAAATTCAAAACAAGAACATTTCAGACCACCCGTAGTTTTCTACGCTCTTAATATGACCTGAACTTTAAAGTTTTTGACATGAAACAAAACAAAACAAAACAAAACAAAACAAAAAAACATAGGATTTAGAACTACCAAAATAAATAAAGAAAATACAATATTTTCACCGTCTTTCCTTAACCCAAAGGATTTTTCACAAACACTTGTTTGCGTCTCGTGTGGTCGTTACTCAGATCGCTGCAGAAGGTTACATTTCAAAACTACTCGACGTAAAAAAAAAAAAGATAGAAAGAAAGAAAGTAAGACAAACGATACACTCTGAAATCAAAGGTTCAATAAATGAAGAAAAAAGATTTTTTTTTTCATCTGCCAGCTCTGACGTCATCAAGTCGGCGAGGATACGGTCTTAAAGTCCTTTCCAATGGCGAACTGAGTTAAGTAGAAGCAGAGGCAGAAGCAACGAGGAAAAAAAATAATCTGCAACCAAAAGGGAATCAATAAGTCCATAACCTCTTCTCGCCAGAATCTACGTCCTTGTAAATGAATTGAACCAAAATGACTAACTCTGTCATTATTTCCTTCTTTCTTTTTTTTTGTATTTTTCCAATGAAACATGACACAGTGTACACGTTAGTACTTCGTATGTGCATACCATTTTCTTGCAGATTGACCACAGATTCTCGAGGGGATTTAAAACAGGAGAGTTTCCGAGTCAGTCGTTAGTACTTTGATTTGCTCACTGCTTACCATTGTGTTCGTGCTACCTTACAATATTCGTACGCTTCCTCGGAGTAACGTCCATCGCAGACAATGGCCGTAGGACAACTAATCGACAGTCGAGACAATAGTGCCTGGGCGTGATGAAAATCTGATGCAATCACGGATGACGCAATATTTTTCAAGGCCAAACAAATTTCATCATACAACCCCGAAAATTGATTCATATTACTGCACACCACTTCAAATGAACTACTCTGAGGAAAAAATAGGAATCGATCCAGTGGGTCTAAAACTGATGATGAAATAAAGGAAACTAAAGCAGTTGTTTCAATTAATTTGCTCACGGGTGTATGTCAGATATTTATCCTTACTTTGAATATTGTTGCCCCATCTGGTCTGGTGCTCCTGCTATATATTTAGAGATTCTTGATAAAATGCAAAGAAGAATATGAAATGTTATTGGTCCTGATCTGGCATCTCGATTTCATTCACTTTCACACCATCGTAATGTGGCCTCCCGGTGCTTTTTCATGGTAATTGTTCTGATGGACTTTCCCCTATGGTACCTAGAATTTATGAATTTAAGTAAACAGTACTAGATTAGCGGCAACGTCTCATTTTACATATAAAACGGAGAGATGTAACCGTAAGTTCTATGCTAACAGTTTCTTCTCTCACACTTCTTGCTTGTGGAACTCTCTTCTGGATACTTGCTGCTCTCTCATTTATGTTTTTTCCTTATATTTTCTAACACTCCTTTGTTGCCTTGTTCGGGGTGAAATGATCAAAAAAATCTGACAGGTATTATCTTGATTTTTTATTGTATAATGCTCGATTTATGCTATTAATATTTACGAGTGAATTAATTGGCTTCCGAGCATATCACGTTGACACACCGGTTCACCGAAGTTAAGCAACGTCGACCGTAGTCAGTACCTAGATCAGGTGCTCTAAGCTTTGATGTGAAGGTGGTGTAATGAAATGAGAAATTAGAGAGCCGTGTTCGAATTCCGGTCGGGTTCGTGATATTCACTTTAGCCCAAATATCCGTGGGCGATCATGAATATGAAAAAGGCATGATCGCCTAAGTGTGTCACATCTACCCCTCCCCCTACCAACATACATTTAATCTTCTTTTTGTTTTTGCTTATATTTTCCGTTGTCTGTTTCTTAAACAAAGAAAAAAATAGAACGATATTGTTGTGGATTCCGGGTTGAAATCCCGTACCAATAAATAACAAACGCCAGGAATGAATATATGAAAATAATATATTAACGTAATAATACAAACTGGTAAAGCAGGTTAGTAGTTCCAGAAATATGGGTCAGGCATTTTTGGCAGTTTTCCGATAGCTTTTGTACTGTTAATCCAGGTTCATTTTGCAGTTTTGAAAGCATTCTTTTGCGCATCTCACTATCCTTTGCTGAGACTAACCCTTGTACAAAAATAAGACACTTGAAATTGACCGGGGTTAATTCTGCCAACTTGAAGTCGTCGCAATGTTTATTTACGATTGCGGCGAACGTGGAATAGTCCTCATTTTCATTCTTTACGAGGTTAAGACATTTCCACCTTTTGTGAAAGAGTGACGTTTTCGGGATGAAAAACTCCGTCAGGCATGTAACTGCTTCATCAAACGTTAGATCATTTGTCTTCTTTGGCAAAATGTAATCCACGAATTTTGTGTATTCATCCGTTCTCTCGGATCTTCACTGGCTGTAGTATAAGTATACACTGGGTGAGTCCATTTGTATAAAAAATGGTGGGCTCCTCAACAGATATAAAGAAAGAAATAAAGAAAGAGAACCAAGAAGGAAATGTAAAAAAAATGCTGACAAAAAAAGAAAGAAAGAAATAGAACCAAAGAATAAAATAATGAAGAAAACAAAAACGAAAAAATAGAATGATGAAAAGAAAGAAAAAAACGAAGCAAAGAACAAAACACAGAATGAAATACAACGAAAAAGAAAAGTGGAATGAACGAAAGAAAGAAAGAAAGAAAGAAAGAAAGAAAGAAAGAAAGAAAGAAAGAAATAGGATAAAAAGAAAGAAATAGGATAAAAAGAAAGAAAGAAATAGGATAAAAGAACAAAACGCAGAAGGAAAAATAAAAAAAAATTGATGAAAAGAAAGAAAGAAAGAACGAAACACCGAACGAAAAACTAAAATAGAAAGAAAGAAAGAAAGAAAGAAAGAAAGAAAGAAACGGAACCAAAAAAACGGAAGCAAAAAAACGAAATGCAGAATTAAAACAGAACAAAAAAGAAAAATAGAAAGATGAAAAGAAAGGAAGAAATTGAACCAAAGAACCAAACGCAAAACGAAAAAGAAAATCAAATAATGAAAAGAAGGAAAGAATGAATGGAACTAGAGAACGAAACAGAGAATGAAAGAGAAAAATAGAATGATGAAAAGAAAGAAAAGAACCACGAAACAAAGAAAGCTCATTGCAGAAGTATCCGGATGTCCAGAAGGAAAAGAAAAAGGAAAAGACCGCAGACAGAAGAAAAGAAAAAATGGCTAGAAAAAATCATAAAAATAAAAGACACAAAGAATGTGCTAATTCGAAGGGGGAAAAGTCCTTTTGCGCTCTGTGACAAATAAGTGATGTTGAAAAGAACATGATATATAAATAAACCCTTTCTCTCGAAGCTGTAAGCGATGACAGATTCCTTACGCAAAAGTGAACAACATGAGACGCCCGCAGCTTCAACTTTAAATGATGCTGGACATACGAATGTGAAAGCATTCTTATAGCAGACCATCTGGCAAAACGAATTTCTGCTTCTCTATTTTTTCCTTCAGGCTTTCTCTAAAGTTTTCTTTCTTTAATTTGTTTTGTCCGCTGACTTTTTCTTTTCTTATGCTTCTTTTTCCTCGTCAGTGCTGACACTTTTCTACAGAACCCTTTTCGATAAGAAAGCGTAGAGTTCGGTAAGAACTGAATAATTTCCCTTTAACATCGTTTTGTGGACTTTTTATAACGCCATATTACTTCAAAATGGAGGCGATCATGACTTCACAGATACCTTTTCTTTATTATCTGTGAATTGCCATGACTTGTTTTTTCTTCTCTTAGACAAGTTGTTGCCCAAGGCGAGAGGACCCAGACTACCTTGATATTTAACCCATAGCTGGGGAAACAAAAGACGGGTTAATTAATTTCGCAAATGCATTTGTATGGAAGTAAACTAAAAGAACAAAGAAAAACATTCAGAAAAAAATTATGAATAGTTTTTGATATTATCTACATTTACTAGTAATATTATGTACACCGGAATTATGACGACATACGGCCATATCATGTTGAAACACCCGTTCCCATACGATTACTGAAATTAAGCAACGTTGAGCCTGTTCAGTGTGTGATCTCTTGGGAATATCAGTTACTGTAAGTTTGGATGTACGGGTCATAAATGGATAATGATCTCGAAATTTTTAATCCGAGCGTCGTCCAGTTGGTTCATGTATTATTCAATTGCGCACAAATACCCTTGGGAAAGGTATGAATCCATTTCTTTTCTCTCCCCTAGCTATGGGTTAATTAGTAAGACTTGTATCGCTTAATCATTATTATCTCCAACAAAAAGCATTCTTACAGTGTAAAAATATCTTCTGGCTTTAAATGACGCGCTAAACCTTGATAAGCCGTCAAAAGCAGATCAATGGAATTAGGAAAGAAAGCACCATTTTACTTTGCCTTCGTCTATACTATCCTGTTCGTAAAGCCAAACCTCATCAGCAATTTTCATTTCTGTTTATTTATTCATTCTGCTTGTGCAATTGTTTCGAGAAAGTGTGTTTTACGCGGTAAGCCTTTGTTCACTGATAAGTGACCTTTAAATATTCTTGCGGTTGATGGTCGGAAATCGCATCAATAAATTCACATACTGATATTCTTGTCTTTCTTTCTGTCTTTCTCGATTTTTTCCTTTTTTTTTCTGTCTTTTCTTTTCGTTCTTTGTTACTTTCTTTCGCTCTCTCTTTTTCTTCCTTTCTTTTTTTTCCATTTTTTTTCGTCATTCTGGTTTCCTTTCTCGTTTTAAGTAAATTTTTGAGTAAATTTTGGTTTTCTTTCCCTGTCTTTTTTCATTCATTCTTTCTTTCTTCACACCTTTCTATAATATTCTTCTTTCTAACCTAACCTTCCCTTATCTCTCCCCCTCTCTCTCCCCCCTCTCCCCCCCCTCTCTCTCTCTCTCTTTCTTATCGCCATTTTATTTTCCGTTTCGTTCTTTGTAAATCTCGATTCTTTTATTTCTTTCTTTTTTCTTTCTTTTTATTTAATTTTATTGAGCTTTATAAATCTTTGGCCCTTTCCTTCCTTCCTTCCTTCTTTCTTTCTTTCGTTCTTTCTTTCTTTTCTCTTTCGCAATTATATTTTTTCGTTCTATGTTAAGTTTGGATTTATTTAACACACTCTCTCTCTCTCTCTCTCTCTCTCTCTCTCTCTCACTCACTCACTCACTCACTCACTATTGTTTTATTTTTTCTTTCTTTCTTTTCTCCACTTTCATATTTCTTGCTTACTCTCTTTCTCCCCCTCCCCAACCTCTTATCATTGTTCCTTTTTCATTTTCATCCTCTGTAAATTTTGGATCTTCTTTCTTTCTTTCTTTCTTTCTTTCTTTCTTTCTTTCTTTCTTTCTTTCTTTCTATTTCCCTTTCTCGTTTTGTATCCATTTTCTTTTCCTTTTAATTTCCTTTTTTTTCTTTTTTCACGTCAGTCTCTTTTCTTTTTCGTTCTGTGTAAAAAATTTTCTCTTTCTTTCTCGCTTGCTTGCATTATTTATTTATTTATTTTTCGTTCTGTGTAAATTTTGAATTTTTCTTTCTTTCTTTCATCACTAACTTTTGTTTTCCCCTAAATACTTTTTTCATGATTTCTTTCTTTCTTTCTTTCTTTGGCCAAGATCTTTTCATTTCTTCTGTGAACAAAGAGCTTCAAGTTGGCCTTTACCAACAGTCCATAACAGCTGGCAGTCGGAAACATCTGGTTACTTTTGGAGAAGTTGAAGGAGGAGGAGAAAAAGAGAGAGAGAAAAAAAATAATAAACCTCCTCCCACTTCCATTTTTTTTTTTTTTTGTTTCAAAAAAGAAAAAAGAAGAAAAAACAGAAAAGTTGGGGAAATGACAAAGACGAAAGCTAAAGAAAGCAAAGGAAAAAGAGAACAGAGAAATAGTTGCAAATGGAAACTTTTGAAGAGAAATACAAAGAAATAAATGTTGAATTTTAATAAATTTAAAAAACAAAGAATTAAAAATTGAAAACGAAAAATAAAAGATGAAAGAAAAGAGCAAAGTTAAAAAGTAAATCTCTTCCATTATTCAAATATAAAACCAGGGCGATACATAAAATTGTTTTATTTGCACACATATGTACACAAGTATGCATACATGCACATACGCGCGCTCATGCATACATGGACATGCAGGCACAAAAGAATACACATATATGAACACGCATATAAAAAACAAAATATCAAACTTTATAAATCCATCGGTCGCGCAACCTGGTTTCACCTACTTATTAATCAGATATTCCATTGCTATGATAAAAAGAGGCATTATTCGACGCCAGTCAGCGTAAGTGACTTGTGTTAACGAAACATGAGAATCTGAGAATATCTGAGAATTTGTTAACTTACTGCATTTTTTCTGAACTTTCTCTGAATATTTTTGCATTTAAAAAGTTAAAAATAAAACAAAGCGAAACTTGTATGCATAAAGATATCAGCTTATCCTGACAGGACATACAAACTTAGAAAATAGCAAAATTATATAAATATAGCTATGATTATCTTATGATATAGCTAAACACACACATGCACACACACACATACGCACATACACATATATACATATGTGTGTGTGAAATGTATATGTATATAAATATATATATATATATATATATATATATATATATATATATATATATATATATATATGCAATTTTTAATATATATTATTATATATTATATATGCGCGGTACTTATTGGAAAGCACTCAATATCAGTGATAGAGCTAACATATTTAGTTGGATAGATGTGAGTTTGTGACCCTGACGATCGCAAATGGCGTGAAAACCAGGTTCACGAACTCACATCAATCCAACTAAATATATATATGTGTGTGTGTGTGTGTGTGTGTGTGTGTGTGTGTGTGTGTGTGTGTGTGTAGGCAGCTTATCTTCATGTTTCATTAAATAATGTAAATATATTGTTTCTATTTTTATATTGGTCCTTTCTCGTTGTCTAATTAGTTTCTTGATATTAAGATAAAATTCATCAAGGAAGGCGCCGTATAGGTTTTTTACTCAAGTACTTTCGACCTTTTCTGAGATCCTCTTCAGGGATAAATTACAAAAACAAACATAACAGCGATAAAATCTACATTTCGTTGTGATGATGTTTTTTTTTAAAAAAATACGCGCGGACGGGCTCTGTAATTATTTTTAAAATTTTAATGTTTCTTTTTTTTATCTATGGACTCTTTGGCAAAACAAGCCATTCAATATAAGGAAACTGACCAGAAATTGATAGAAATGTAAAATGTCATTAAATTTTACATGCACTTTAATACATTGCTGCTACATTCGTAATAAATTTTGTTGGGTGTTGGTTTGTTTATTTTGATATAGAAGGCCTCAAGAATTTAAAGTTTTTCGTTATTGTTTTCGTGGTGTAGTATATTGATGTTGTCAACAAGTATTTTCCTCTATAGTGAAAGTGTTTTGAGATGCCCGAAAACCAAAAACTTTGGCGTCTTGCTTTATGAAATTCTTCTTACCATCAAAAAACTGATTAGGCAACTGGAAAAAATCAGTATAAAATAAGTAGAGACAATATGTCTATATTATTTAATGAATCATATATATATATATATATATATATATATATATATATCAGGCTAAGTAAAAAAAATAAAGTCCATGCTAGATGCTCCGTTAGTTTATTTATTAAACAATACGTTCAAGCCAGTGGACGAAAATAAATAAACTAAAATTAAAATATGTGTATACACTAAAAATAACGTTTAAGTGTGACGTCACCCCGTGCCTCTGCTCCCGTGCTATCCTGTGACGACCAATGTGACTTGGTATTGGTCGCGGCGCCAAATGTGACGTTCTAACCCTTGGCTGATTCGGATGGGAATCTGGTTAGATTCGGTATCATTGTCGTTCCCAGCTCACTTCCAACGTCTGGTTACCGAAGTAACTGCTTTGATTTCTAGTCTAACCTACCCACGTTGTGATTTGATCTTAGGTAGACGAAATCAGTCAGTCGTCGGGCCGTAGTGAAAGCCGAATTCGAGCAAAGGTGACACTGCACAAGTATATGTAAAAGAAAATAAAGTAACAAAAAAGATTCAAATGTGTTAAAAAAAGAATAACAAATATCTTTATATCTGGTTGCTGCATACAAGACTGCGTCTTTCTCCCAAACCGCTTCTATGGATACGTGACACTTTGCGTTTGTTAGGCGAGTCTTAATATCTTAATGTTTTTCAAGAAACTGATTTTTGGTGTCTTCAGGCGATATTCGTAAAACTTGTTTTGGTGGTGTGAGTCGAAGTCGTTCTTGGTTAGAAATCTAAGTCGGAATGCGTGAATATCTTTCAGTCTGCTCCTGCGAGGATGGTCTGCGAGCTCACAGCTCAACTCTGTCTGCTCTGTCACTCTGTCTGCGTCTGCTCAACTGCCACTGTCTGCCCTGTAACTCCGTTTATATGGACGCCGACCAAAACGAGGTGCGGGCCTGTTTGGGTTCCTCGATAATTCCAAATCCGCAATAAGGATTTTCTTTGTTTTCGGACAGGAAAATTTATCACTTTCCATTTTTGGAAGTCCATTACTTTCTGTTTTAGAGGGGTTCTTAAGGGAATTGTCCTCCCAAATTCTTCCTTTCTCATAGTGGTATCTCACACCAATCCCCTCAGAGGCGTCAACAGGTTTCCCTTCTTTCTCATATGTTTACCTTCGCCCATCGCTCACGCCACCATTCAGCCAATGAACGCTCGGCAGCGTGGGTGTGGCTAGTCTGGCATCAGTTTACAATTATCGCTCAAAGAAAAAAAATTATCTTCCTTTTTCTTTTTTTTTCTTTTCCCCGACTGGGACCCCCACGACTCGTAGTGTGGTCATTAAGTCTCTATCTTAACTGAATGCCATCTGGAATTCATCAACGAGATTTTCGTCAAGTGATTATCAGAATCTCCTTGTATCCTCAACGCCAACAATCTGTCCAGGTAACAAATTTTTATCATGTCAAGGTCTGAACATAAAACAGGTGGTCCCTTTCCAAAACCAAATGATATCTCCGAAAGATAGTTAATGGTTTATTCTTTTCCTTTTTCTCTTCCTCCTCCCTTTTTCTTTGGGGTGGTCTCAGCTGA